GATGAATTTCGCATTGCTCTCACCATTGAGGCAAAGCGTTTCTTAGAGGTAAATTGTGAGATAACATTTTTAGTCTGATTCTTATTAGAATAAAAAATAAATAAAACAATGATTTACATTTTCGTTTGAATCGATTCTAAATTCGAACCCACTGGGGAGGAGAACATAGTTATTATTTGAAAAAGTTTTCAGTTAAATATATCAGTTCTGAGAAAATAGAAAGAAAAAACAGTACTGACATATATGTCAGTGCAGTAATCAGTGCCATTTTAGTATTATGTACATACTCTTACAGTTTTTAGTAATATTTTGAATAAGCTTGTAATTTTTATATTCATATTTTATTTTGTATGTTTTTGTCACAAAATTTTTTTTTTTTTTATATTTCTAAATAGTTTTATTTTATTTTTATTTCAGTTTTTTTCTGTTAGTAAGTTTAGCACTTCAATTTAAACGTATTTCAAGGCAATCAAATTTTTTAAATCTAATATTTATTTTATTTCAGCTTTATTTCAGTTAACAAAAAAGGTCAATAGTTTCAGTTAAAGGGGTCCTATTATGCTCTTTTACAAAGTCTTGATTTTGTTTTGGGGGTGTACTAGAACATGCTCTCATGCTTGGTGGGTCGAAAAACGCATTATTTTTCACATAATTTACATTATTAAAATAGCTTTCTCCCCAGCCTGGCACAAATGGCTCGATTAGTTCCGACTTTGATGAAGGTCTGCCTTCCGAAAAACAAAATGTGTTTGGTCGGGGTTTGAAGGGGGGGGGGGGGTGTAGGAGGTGAGATGGTCCATGTTTCAGGAGGTAGGGGGTTATGTGGGGGTTTCAGAGGAGGGCGGGTTATTTTAGTTCAGGGCTCTCACAGCCTGGGGGAAAAAGCTGTTGAGCAGTCTGGCGGAGCGAGCTCTGATGCTCCGGTACCGTCTTCCTGATGGTAGGAGCTGGAAGAGACTGTGGGAGGGATGAGTGGGGTCCTTCACGATACTGTTGGCTTTGCTGGAGCATCGTGTAAGGAAAATGTCCAGGATGGAGGGGAGATGGCCCGCCTTCCGAAATGTAATATGATTGGTTAGCTGTCCCAGTGCGTTGTGATTGGCAAACAGCTTAGACAGTGTTTCAGTACTGCCACGCCCCTTGCCAAAGTAGCAAGTTCTGTCTGCTCCGGTTTAGTTAAGGATGGCATCAATATTGCCATATCAATTTGAGCCGGATTCAGACCCTGAGAATATTGAACAAGAGGATCGCACAGAACCTTTGCACACACGGATATTACAAGACATATTAGAGTGGCAACATTATTGTTTTTTTGTTTTTTTTGGCTAAATCACGTTTTAGATACGATGTCAACAGCCGCTTAAAAATAAGTGCATTTACTATGTACAGATAAGTGCAACGGTAATATGTATTATGTTTATTGTTCTTTAATTCTAACATTATAACATGAATTGCAGTGAAACCGTTACTGCACTAACTCTGCAGCAGCACTTCTTCTTCATCGTCATCTTGTCTGATGCACTCAACCAAGCGTTCTAGCCACGACCTCGCCCCTCCCCACCCCGCAACCATTCGAATTTCCGTAGGCGGGAATTATTTTAATGATATTATAATGGGCCGCTTTGTGACATCACAAAACCCCGGAAAACAATGCTGTAGTCCAAACAAGCCGTTCGTTGTAGTTCGTGAAAAGGGATTTAAAAAAAAACGAAATATCTCCCTTTGGAGTGGACTTTGAGATTTGTAAGTTTGAAGATCTTTTTTGTCCCCAAACATACACACTACACACTGACTAAAATTCAAAAAGTGAAAAAGCATAATAGGACCCCTTTAAGAATATTGCCTAAAATGTCAAAAATGTTTTAATGACACAAGCCCCGGATTTTTCTAACAGGTTACCCTTACTGTGTGTGTGTGTGTGTGTGTGTGATTTGTAGGTAAAGGAGGGATTTGATCAGGTATCTGCTGAACTCCTAGAAATCAAGTCAAGTCTCAGCCAGTCTCAGCAGAAGGAGAAGCAGTCAGCCTCTCTGGTGCAGGAGCTCACAGCTATGGTGAAAGAACAGAAAACACGCATTGCTGAGCTCCTCAAAGCCAAACGAGAAGCCACCGCTGAGTTCAAGGTATGACCAAAAGATTTTATTTACAAAAAAGTTCTTGATTTTGTTGTGTCCTTTGGGGATTTGTGCCAAATCATCACACATGTGATTTCAATAACTTCTTAAGTAATGCTTCATAAATCACGTTATGCTCTGTTTTTGTATGCTAGACCTGTGTACAGTCATTGGAATCCAGGTTAGAGGACGATAAACGACTTAACCTACAGGTGGAGCTACTGAAAAAGGACAAGTCCAAGCTGCTCTCCCAGCTTACTGCTCAAGAGTCTGTCATAGATGGACTACGGGCAGAGAGAAAGATCTGGGGCCAGGAACTTGCCCAGCAAGGTACTTCAGTAACTTCAAGAAAGTATGACCCAGACAGAATTGGTTTTATTTGAGCTAATTTTTGTGTTTGTCCATTTGTTTAGGTGCATCCTTAGCACAGGACCGTGGTCGACTTGAGGCCAGAATTGAAGTTTTGTTAGCCGAACTGGAATCGCAGAAGAAGCAGAACAAGAGAGACAATGATGCGCTCAGGATTAAAGCTAAGATTGTTGATGACCAGACAGAGACTATTCGTAAATTAAAAGAGGTAAAGTCCTACTTGCTCAAAAAAAAACGTATAAACTAAGATAGAAATTAGATAGAAATAAATGGATTACTTATTTTATATCAAATTAATTACATAATGCGCTTAAAATTAATTACATTAATCAAAAATATGTGATCAGTGCCATGTTTTTAAGACAACATTTGAAGTTAAATGGTACAAATTTTGTACCATTCAAACTACCATTCAAATGTTTGGGGTGTGTCAATATTTGAATGTTTTTTAAATAAGTCTCTTCTGCTCACTAAGGCTGCATTTGTTTAAGCAAAAATACATTAATTAACTCAGTAATATTGTGAAATATTATTACATTTTAAAATGTAAAATTTTAATAGATTTTAAAATTTAATTTATTCCTGTGATTGCAAAGCTGAATTTTCAGCAGAAATCATTCTAATATGCTGATTTAGTGCCGAAGTAACAGTTCTTATTATCAATTTTGAAAAAAGTTGCACTACTTAATTTTATATAAAATATATTATATTATAATATATATATATATATATAATTATATAATATAAAATATATAAATATATATATATATATATATATGTATATATGTATATATGTATATGTGTGTGTCCTTGCTGAATACACACACACACAAACTTACCCTGAGCTTTTGAACTATATTTAAGTATATGTAATAATATGTGTGCTAAATTAATGCATTAAGTACAAAATAAAAGAGAAAAATCTTATGTGTAATAGTCAGTTTTCATTACCTGGCTCACTTTTCTCTAACATACTGCTTCTAGGCATTGCTGGAGCGAGATGAGCAGATCCGTAAACATCGTGATGAGAATGTGCAGGACCAGCGAATGCTGAAGCAGCAGCTGGAGGAGGAAATGGCCTCTGCAGTGGAGCTGAGAGAAACAGTGGAGCAGCTCAGTCTCAGGAAAGAGGAGCTGAAACAACAGCTCCTTGATAAGGAGGAGGAGCTTGATGAGGTTAAACAGACATACAGGTATGGAATAACACTGGTTATTAATTAACTGGTTATTAACCCTAACTTATTAATTATGGAACAATATGCCATTGTTTGAAAGGGTGTATGCTGATGTCTCACACCATCACACAGCTGCTAAGTAATATGTTGAATTCAAATATTTTTTAATCAAATTACTTTTGCAGGGCCTCAAGTAAAAAATGGCAGGAAAAGGCAGAACTGTTGAACAGGCTTGAGAGCCAGGTGAACCGAATGAAAGAGGGTTTTGATTCCAAAGAGAGAACGCTGATAGAGGAAAGAGACAAGGCTTCACAAGCACACCGGTATGAGATGGGCAGCAGGCCCTAATTTGAACTAGTAGTATAGTAGTATAGTATAGTATAGAACAGTAGTATACATTTAAAACAATTTTTTTATTTTTTTTTATTAGAGCAGCAGTGGAGAAGCTTCACAGTGTGGACGATGCCTTCCGTAGACAACTCGAATCTCTGCAAGCTTCCCATCAGGCTGAAATACTTAGTCTTGCGAATGACAAACAGAAACAAATGGAAAAAGCCAATCAGAAGGTATTACTGGCACTACAGTATTGATTTATATATATCAATTTACTGTATTTTCATTCATATTGCTAGTGTTGGCACATGCAGACAAACTGCTAGATTAAAGTAAGCAGACTAGAATGAGTTGTTTTTAATTTAATGTCTTGATGAATTAGATGATTGACTGGGAGAATGCCTTCTCAAGAACATATTTATTTGTTTATTTATTTTTAACCACAGGTGCTCCAGGTGGAGGAGGAAATGCGCCAGCTGCTTGAGGAAACTGAGAGTAATAAAAGGGTAATGGAGGAGAAAATGAGACGCCTCACACAAGTGCTGAAAGACTTCTAACCTCCTATCCATTACAAACCCAAGACAAAAACTTGGAAGATGGCTTTTTCCAGACTTATGTCACTTATGTCTCTATGTAGCCTAGTCTACTGTATTTAACAGTTTTTTTGACTTTATGCTTGAAAATATATCAATAGAAAATTGTTGAAAATGTGAAACTTCTATTGATGTTTTTTTTATTACAAAATCATATATATATATATATATATATATATATATATATATATATTTTATTATTTTGTACCTTCAGCGTACAGCATTATATACTACACTTTTTATATACCATGGGCTTTTTAAATTTTTTTTATATATATATATAATTAAATTATAAACTTGTTACGCTGTGTTTGTTGTGTAATTTTGGAGAATTCAATTTTAAAAGTGTGTTGAATTCTCAAAGCATTTCAGTTGCGTGTACCTCTGTTCGAACGCTCAAGCAGAGACGCTGTCATAGTAACGGTAATCCAACGTCATTTCCTCTCATTTAAAAACCCTCGAGCCATCAGTAGAAGTGTAGCCTGAGGTAAATAAGTGCAAGAGATGATTGTTGCTCCCCCTCACCAACTAAAATAAACTGAGGTCGACCGCCATACCTCTGAACGAGACAAAGAGGGAGTTTTTGAATTTCGTCCCTAACACCGGGCGTTTGGATGGTATGGCTGAGTCGAACAGCGCGAGTTTTCCTCACACGACACCGAACGGGTCCAGTCGCCATGAGAAGAGTTTGGGTCTCCTCACAGTCAAGTTCGTTACTTTGCTTCAAGAGGCCAAAGACGGAGTGCTCGATCTCAAAGTGGTGGGTTAAAATACATTTACAAGTGGCGGAATGAATGAACGAAGGGAATGAATGAAACTCGGCAGGCTGTTCAGTGAGGAGGTCTGTCAAGAGTTACACAAAGAAACTGTTTTTACCTGAGTGGACTTTCGCTGTCCTGTGAGGCTCTTACTGTAAGAGATATACAGACATACGTGCCTGGCTCGTAGTTAATTAAAAGTGTTGAAGAGCGAATAGAAATGGCGTGTTATTGTGACAGAGGGGATTTTGAACAGAAACCCGTGGGATCTCACGGCAGGTGTTCGTTACCTGATGCTTGAGGCAGCAGAGGCGCTCTGTGTGAATTCATTGGAGACATTATTCAGTCTAATCACCTGCTATTTCCCTATAAAATAGGGTCCTAAACTCTTAAAAAATGTAAAGTATTTTTTTTCCTTTAGCAAATGGGCGGGGCTTAACATTCTATAAAAGTATATTTAAATGAGATAACGTTATTTGGTATTTATTTGTTGATTGATTGATTTATTCATTGTTAATGTGGAGATATTGATAGCCTTATATTTTATATTTTTGTTATCAAATCTTAGCATTTTTTTCAATGCAGTAACGTAACCATCTTCTACTGCCACTACCTACTACCAGTGCTGCATTATTTATTATTATTATTAGTAGTAGTAGTAGTGGTAGTAGTAGAATTAGTATTATTATTTAGTAATTAAATTAGTAATTTATTTGTGCGACCCTGTCTAATTATTGTTAGTGTGTAGTTATTTATAGACATAAATATATTTTCCACACATTAAATAAAATATTTGAATTTTTTTTCGTACTGTAACATAACCAACCGTTATTACCACTGAATGCAAAATATATTTTATATGAAAACTGAGAAAAGTAGATGATGCATTTTTCTTTTTTTTCAATTTTCAATTTTTTTAATCCTGTACATTTGTGTTAACACAGTGTTGCATTATTGTTATTATTATTATTATTATTATTATTCAGTAATTAAATTAAATGAGTTAATAATAAAAAGTTATTGTTTTTATTACTATAAATTTTTTATTTATTCAGTTATTTAAAAAATATTTGAGGATATGTGCCTCTGCTTTAAAAACATCATGGGACAGCAAATTGTGTAGTATTCGTGGAATGTACCCCACATTTTGTTACATTCCATTATATTCCCATCAGCTATCATACAAGGATGGATAGTGGAGATATTATGTGAATTTCTGTACATGGGGTCAGTGTGACCGGTGCTAGCACACCTGCCCATGCTTATCATGATGGCACACTTACTCATGGGAAACTCTTCTGATAACAGTCGAGACCTACTGAGTTATCTAAACCCAGTTTCCAAGTATATATCAACCCAAGCTGTTGTTTGGTCCGGTAAATAGCCAATTCCTCTCTTCTGATTGGATGGTCTCTAAAAAATAACATTGTTATTATTTTCATAGGCTGCAGACAGTTTGGCCGTCAAACAGAAGAGGAGAATCTACGACATCACCAATGTTCTGGAAGGCATTGGGCTCATTGAGAAAAAGACCAAAAACACCATTCAGTGGAAGTGAGTACAGAGATTAGGGAAGTTATCAGTGTGCTATCAAACGTTTCCTTAAAATAGTATATGCATATTGTAATGTTGTATGCATTCTTTGCATGCTTAGTGTGAGATACTTCGGTTGCGTCATTCTCTAATTCTTATTCTTAATTAGAGGGGAGAGTTCAGGCTGCCAGCCTCAGGAAGTTCTTGAGCAGGTTGAACTTCTCAAGGCAAATATTGCTGATCTGGATATTCAAGAGAGAGAGCTGGACATGCAGAAATCGTGTCTGCAACAAAACATCAAACACCTGAATGAAGACCCTTCCAGCTGCAGATATCCTTACGGTCAGCGTATGAGCCAGGAAATGTCCATTTTTCTTTTTCCTTATTCTAGTCTGATAGATTCTCATTTTTGGTTGGTTCCCCTGGTAATTAACAGTCCCAGAAAAATGCCATTGTCAAAGGAGTGCACCTAATTACATGTTGAGTGCTATAACCTGTCCTCCTTTGACTATGTGGTGTTATTGTTGGGTATTTGAGTGGCCCCAGTCCAGTTTTTCCAGTCTCCAGTCTATTGCGGTTCGTGCTAGAGTTTCCAAAGCCTTACCCCACCAGTTATTCCTCTTTGGATTAAAGTGGTTTATGCAAAGTTCAGCCTTTTTATCTCCAAACTTATAATGTCATGGAACAGAGCCTCTTAAGGGGGGACATGGTGATTGAAAAAATATGAGATTTGAGGGAAGATTATATATCAATGCTTTTGCGTTCTCTGGAAAAAATATAGCCTTCCCCCGAGAAAATATACGTCTGTTTGATAGAATGCAACGACATTGAAATACTTTTGTTTTCTAGCAAAAAAAAAAAAACCCGTTTCCTCAAACTTTGCTTTCAGTTGCTAATTTTTTTTGGGAGAACACAAAAGCAATGAATTACATTTTTCTTCATCTCAACATGTAATTAGGTGCATTTTTTTGTTGCATTTTCTCTCTCTCACTCAAAAAAAAAAAAGAAAGTGTTCACCCGGGAAACTTCGCTTGCGATTGCAAAAACATTGAAAAATAGTTTTTCCTCTCACCTCATATTTTGTCAATCCTCAGTTTTGTGTTTTTGCAAATGAATGCAGTTTCTCAGGAGAATGCAAAACCACTGAATTATATTTTTTTCCATCTCATATTTTAATGCTTTTGCTTGCTCTTGAAAAAATATTGCATTTCCCTGAAAAACTTTGGGTTTGCTTGCAAAAGCACTGAAATATAGTTTTTCCTCCCACCTCATATAATGACTGTGTATCATGGGGTCATTTCAATGTGAAAAATATACAAAAGGTTGAGGATACATTGCATTATCACTCGGTACATGTTCCTTAGCATTGTATACATACAGCTACGTGACCCATGAGGACATATGTGATGCGTTCAGTGGGGATACTCTTTTAGCTGTCATGGCACCATCAGGAACACAACTGGAGGTCCCAGTGCCTGAGATGGTATGTTTTTGATATATGTGTGTGTGTGTGTGTGTGTGTGTGTATTTGTGTTTATTTGCATTTTCTTTTTTTTTTTTTTTTTTTCAGGGCCACAATGGTCAGAAAAAGTACCAGGTGAACTTGCGAAGTCACTCAGCTCCCATTCAGGTGATGCTGATAAACAAAGAGTCAAGCTGCTCCAAGCCTGTTGTTGTCCCCGTCCCACCTGTAGATGACATTTCTGCCATGCCAACTCCTCCTAGTACTCCAGCAGGGCTGCAGAGGTTCCCCATCTCCTCAGCTGAGCTCTGTGATCTAAAGCGAGGGCAGCTGAAAAGCCCCACTGCAGAGCACCAACTCACACCGTCCTCCACGTCCCCCGATATGCACATGGGTACTGCTTTCATTCATACTGGCCTCGTTCCTTACTGTGTGATTGATATTTGTAGCACCAGTCATTATTCTCTCTGCATATTAAAATGGGATAGGAGAAAAATTACTTGCATCATCCTTAAATATATATATATATATATATATATATAGGACATATTTATATACAGGAGTTAAACAAAATAATGTGAACACCTAGGAAATAGGCAATACTTCTTTATTAAGGTGTTTACCACCATTTGTCATTAATTCAGCTTCCAATCTTCTTATAATTGATTCATACAATGCTTGAATAGTCTCCAGTTGAATGTCATCTATCAGAACAGAAGTTGTTTTGGAGATGTTGAAAGAGGGAATCTTCTTTTTACTGTTCTCTCCAAAATTATCCATAGTGGTTTGATATTCATTTCAGGTGTTTTGTCTGCCAGTGCAGATGTTAAAGTGCATCTTAGTGCACCAGTTCTCCAGGTTTTATGATCATGCTAAAATGTGAAAAATATGGTGAATATTGTGGTTTGCTGTCACTTTGTAGCAGTAGTTCTGTGTTTTGGACACAGTACTTTTTGTGGTTTGATGCTCCCTATAATTCACTTTCAGGTTTTGACCGCTATTCTTCTTCACCGATGAAGTCTTGCCATGTTTTGTGTATGCAGTCATAATCGTAAAGACTGATGTTCTTGAAATACAAAAATAATTGGGCCGTTAAATTTACAGACGCTCCTGGTACACAGGCTATCATGATTTGTTGTTTTTGGAAGTCTGACAAATCACCCATTTCACAGACGGCTTATACTAAACACTGCTGAACACAATTTATACTACTCTCTGATTTACAAACTAGAGAATATAGATGAAAAGATCATTTGTGCAGGGTGCAGTGAAAAACAAACATTGTGTTTATATTAACCCCTATAATTATGGGTGTTCACATTATTGTGTCCAACCACTCGATCTATGATTATACATGAATATACACTACCGTTCAGATGTTTGGGGTAAGTCAAATAATTTTCATGTTTTTGATAGTCACTTTAGTTATTCTCACCATCACAAACACAGTAAAAAGAGTAATATTGTGAAATGGTATTACAATTTAAAATAGCTATTACCTATTTTAATATATTTTAAAATGTAATTGATTGCTGCAATGGCAACAGCAGCAATTTTCTTACTGATCCCAAACTTTTCAACTGTAGTGTGTATGAAATTTTCTTCTTCAAAATACCAAAATAACACTTTATTTTAATTTTTTTTAAAGAATGCAACTCTGAGTCCCCCCCTGTCAGTCAGTGTTTGTTGATGCAGGGGTCTCTAGGTGGCCCTGAAGAACAGCAGAGGGAGATGGGGGGTCAGGATCTGCAATCCATGTTGGAAGAAATGAGGGATGAGAGAGAAGGTGACATGGATGCCATTATAAAATCACAAGATTTTTCCAGAGCAATTATTTAAGAATTAAAAAAGGTTATTTTTGTATTTTGATGAAAATTTACACTGACCTTTTTTCGTCTTCTTCCAGGCGTTTCTAACCTCATTGATGAATTGATGTCTTCAGATGGTAAGTTCTTTAAAAATGTTTTCCAGTCATTTATTTGTTTCAGTGTTGGCCTTCTGCACAGCCCCCCTTGTGGTCACACAGAGTAGCTTCTTTTGGTTATATTTGTTCTGACTTGAAGCAGTTCACTGTTGTACTTCTCAATTATTCATAGCTAGCAGTGCAGATAAATCTTTTTAATACGTCCTGACCAAAGGAGGATGGGCTGAGTGATGGTTCCTCTCAAGGTTTCTGTCTCCTATACATGCCAGTTTTTCCTCACTTTTGCCTCTGGCTTGTTTTATGGCATTGATGTATGTTATGCTACCTTGGTATTAGAAAGGTATTGTTTTTGAGAATCACCAGAAAAATATGCACTGAAACTGTTTTTAATGAGAAGTGTTAACTTGATGTTTGTTTGTTTATTTATTTATTGTGTATGTGTCTATATAGTATTGAAACACAAAAGACAAAACAAAATACACTACAGTTAAAAAAGTGTTTAAGTAATAATTTTTTTTTTAATCATTTTGTTTAGCAAAGATGCATTAAATAAAGTGATTGTGAAGACATTTTATAATGTTACAAAAGTATTTTATTTCAAACAAATGCTATCTTTTGAACTATCTATTCATTAAATCCTTAAAAAAAAAAAGAAGAAGTAGAATTTCAGTGTTGATTTGGAGA